AAAAACAACAACGGTAATAGTAATAATAGTAATGTTAATTAATTATATGCATGTTAAAATATATTTGAAAAATTTTTCTTCTTAATATTGCATGAAAGTGTTAAGATTCTTTTTCAAAAGTTGGTTTTGAGCGAGGGCCTGTGCTTTCTTGACTTGAATATCCAATAGTAGTAAACAACATTTTTCATAACTATCAGCAAAAAAAGAGTTGTAAATAATCTATCATATGGTCAGTCAGGGATTTTACCAAATTTGGGAATTTCCAAATACTGTAATGATAAACGTGGCAAATGTGGCAAATGCAAATTTTGATCGACAAATAAACAAGTTTGTGGCAAATTAAATTTTATTAGTTTTAACAAATTCATATATAAAATTTGTTATACCAAAATTACTGATTGCATTTCAACAAATTTATTTTTTTATGTGTGAAGCAAAAATTTTAAAGTAAATAATTAAAAGATTCATAATTAGATAAAATTATTTTGATAGGATAATTTAATAGATTTTAAATAAAATAAAAGGTAATAATTAATAAAATTAAACAAATCAATTGCTTGAAGATTCTAAGTCTTTAATAAATCTATAATCAAAATAAAAAAAAAGAATGGCTTAGTATAAGTTATAAACAATACAATAAATAACAACAATTTTATACTTATCTTATTGCACTTGGTTCAATTGTTTTCATTTTTTAAAGTTTATTAGTTGCTATTTTTCCTCCTATATCATGTCTTCTGCTTCATTATTATCATTTCCATTATAAAGATCTTTAACTTGTTGCAAAATTGATAATAATTCATCTTTACTCTTTGACTTTATTCCTTTAAACTGTGGACAATTAGCTTCATTCAAGGATCCCAATAATGTTTGGATAACTGATAATAATTCTTTTTTTGACATAGAACTTTCTGTTGATTGCTTTTCTTCTTCATCAGCAGTAACAGGAATGAGATGGGTAATGCCCATTTGCTCTTTAGAACTGAGCTTTTTTTTGATATAATCTATTTGAGAAGCTTGAGCTAAAGAAGTAAATGATTTTATTGCATCATGTAATTTATCATCCCCATCCAAACTTTCAAAGACAGGATTAAGCTTGGATTTAAAAAAATTTTTCTTCTTAATATTGCATGAAAGTGTTAAGATTCTTTTTCAAAAGTTGGTTTTGAGCGAGGGCCTGTGCTTTCTTGACTTGAATATCCAATAGTAGTAAACAACATTTTTCATAACTATCAGCAAAAAAAGAGTTGTAAATAATCTATCATATGGTCATGCAAAATTTAATAATTTATTAACATCACTTACTTTCATGAAATCAATGCAATTTCTTGCTGCTATTTCCCAGTGCTTTGGGTTGGCACAGGTGGAATAGGTGTCTTTAATGCTTTATTTACCTCTTCAATTATAGCATCCAATCCTTGGTGTTGATTTGACCACCCTGATCGTGATATAACTGAATTTTTTTCCCCATGTTGGATTTTGCTTCCCCAGGTAAAATCCTGACTCTTTTCTTATGATTTTCCTGATTTGCCACTTACCATTGACAAGGTGTTGGGTGACAAATTTCAGGATGAAGACATAAAAATTGTTCTTCATCAGTCAATTCAATTGACCTATAAATGGGATGTCTCCTTGCAGACCAAATTGGGGCAAAGATCCTTTGTAGAGCTGCTTTTAATAAATGTTGGTTGGTACTAATGCCAGTACAAAAATTAACTATGGCCTGCAGGTACAAAAATATCTTAAATTTGAAATGCAGTTATTAGTACTTCTTTGATAGAATCATCATCAATATTTTCTAAAATAAATATTACCTGCTCATATTTAATTTATATATTTCATCTTTCTGATCCTTGGCCCAATTAAGATATCCATCAACAGAAGGATCTGAAACTGTTAAAACATAAGGCCATACCAATTCCATTGCCATCGCACAATGATATATGTTGCACACAGAATCCCATGCTTTATGGTGATCAGCACATTTTTTAAAGTACCTCAATTGTTACACAGAATTATAACCTTGGTGCTCGGCAAAGTATTTTAAATCATTGTCCCTAAATCATTAGAAAAATTTAAAAGAATATTAAATTATATATATATATACATATACATATATACATATACATATATAAAATAAAAAATTATCATATAATATTTATTTAAAACATACCACTTCAATTCAACAAAAAGATTTTAACATCTCTTCATGTAGAGATCCAGGCAACAAGATAATTCCTGGATAATCTTTTTTGATTTTTGTGCAAGATAGTAAGGAACTTCATCACACACAACAGCAATCCATTTTCTTTCTCCTTTGTTAACTCCACTGATCTCTTGTATGTGATCCAAAACCTTATGAACATTGATAATGGAATTTGGGTTTACTGGCAAAGGATCAGGTACATTGACACCTTCCTAGGCACTGATTTTTGGGTTATACTAAATGGATTCATATTAACTTCTGATGCTTTTTCTCCAAATATATAATTTTTAATAATTAAAGATTTTGTGTCATTTTGTCAGATGTTACTTGATTTATTTATTGTGTATCTATTTTAAGGTTGTGGGTGAAACCTCCTTAGTAATTGCTGAAACCATGGCAAAACTATATTAAATCTTACCAAAAATCCTGTTGAAACTATGCTGAAATGGCAAAACCTCAAAATGCGAAACTCTGCCAAAACTCTAATAAACAATTAATGTGTAACCTGCCAAAACCCTGCCGATTGATTTCTGGGGAAGTTTCAGCAAGAAACCTTAATCTGTTTGGAACTCTGAAAGCGTGGCAATGGTGTATTACACTGAGGACAATTACACTTTAAATTTTTTATTCCTTTCATACCACATTTACTACAGCTCTTTTGTTTTCCTATATTTGAACTATGCTTATCCACCAGAACATCAATAGTATTTATCATTTGATTTTTGTCTTTGGAAGCTTCACTTATGATAATGGAAAGATAATCATAAAGCTGTTGATCAAGTAATTCTTGAATTTCCAGTGTAATGGTAAAAAGTTCCTCAATCTGTGATGAATTTAAGTGCTAAAAAAAAAATAATAGAAATAGAAATGCAGAAGTATTTATCATTTGATTTTTGTCTTTGGAAGCTTCACTTATGATAATGGAAAGATAATCATAAAGCTGTTGATCAAGTAATTCTTGAATTTCCAGTGTAATGGTAAAAAGTTCCTCAATCTGTGATGAATTTAAGTGCTAAAAAAAAAATAATAGAAATAGAAATGCAGATCTTTTTTCAACTTTCTCAAAGTCGTGATTTTGACGTTGACTCTCTTTCTATTGCCCATCCCCAAAATAACATGTTTATTTATACAGTTAATTATATTTAAGAAGCAGTTATTTCATTCCACTCTCGCGATGAATGAATGGCATTATCCGTAATAATTCTGAAATTGTTTGTTTCTTTAGTTTTAGCATATACAATCAATAAATCTCAATTTTATTTGATCCATTTTTAGTAATGATAAATAATTCCCGTCAAATTGTATATTTGTTTTAGAGCACTCATTGATTATTACATGATTGCTCGTTTCCTTTTGATTTGAAGAAGCAAATCTCATCTAGAATTCCAATTTAAAAATAATACCTCTAAAATCTTAAATAAAAAGAGATATATATAAACTTTGCTGTACCGACAAATAAATACTTTTTGTTAGCAAGTGATTTTTTTCTTTATGAAGAACAAGCAAAATAATTCTTTGGAACTATTATTGTGCATCTTTTTTTATTGGAGTATATTAATTTCTTCTTTTTATTATATTGAATGTTTTCAATGAATTAATTCATTGTAGATTTTTTTCTTTGATTCAATAATAAAGTGTGAGCTTTTTATAGCAGAATTGAGCAGAATTGCAAATTTTAAGGATTTAAAAGTAGGGAGATTTTGAATTACTCTTATTCAAAAACATATAAATTTTTTTAATTGTGCAATCTGATCTCTGCAAGTGCATCCTCTATAAATGCACACATTCATATGTTTCTTTCTTGCATTGGTTTCTTCAACATCTTCCGAGTTACAATATGCTATTAATAATTTTGCATCCATTTTTTATATATTATTAATTTAAATTATAATATTTATTGCAAGTAAAACATGCTTGTCATGGGTGAGGATTAAAATTTAAAATTTTCTCTAAATTAATCTAATTTCTTTGTATATAACAAAAAGAAAATGGACGATGACCATTATTGAATTGAAATCTTGTATATGTAATGATAAATTGATAAAAAAAGATTAAATTATTTGAATTTCATCACATATAATTTACATACAGCAATAGTCATCTTATTGTTCTTTTATTACTTTCAACATTTTACGGCCTTTCTTATGATCATCAGGAGTTCTACCCACACGACTTTGAGGTCCTAATTGTTTTTCCATTACAAAATTCCAAAGTAACATAACCCATGATGTGTGATATGATAAATTGTCATAATACTCTGATGCAATTTTACGAACTTGGGGTAGATTTGCCCATGGAACCTGAATAAAACAGGATTCAATGTTTAATTTCAATTAATATTAAATATTATAATAAATAGATTAAATAAATTAAAATCATCTCCTACCTTTACAAAATCGTGATGCTCATTATGATATCCAATATTTATTAAGACTATGTTTAAACTCCCATAATAAGAATAAGTTTCTTGACCATCTTCAAAAGTGTAATGTTCTTGGATGAAATGACCAGCAGCAGGGTGTGCACCAAAACCAAACCATAATGATAAAACCAAGTATATTAAACCTCGAAGTCCACAATATTTGTAAATCATAATATCTGTTGTAATTGTGAACACCCAATTAACATATTCCCAAAAACTTGGACTTTTCTGCATAGCCAATCCTCTGACAACATACATGATAGGATAAATATTCAGCCAAAGAAATTTTAAAAATGCATTGCCACGAATCATTTTCTTTTCCCACTCCAAAGGCAGATCAGGATCTGAACCCAAAACACCTTGATATGTGTGATGTTCAAGATGATAACGACGAAATGACAT